CTGATGCTGAGCAGAGCGCGCGGGACGGGGTGAGCACAGCAGCGGGGCTTTCCTTGAGCTGGGCTCTGTGGTGTCTAACCCAGCGTCCCCAGAGCGGCGACCACAGCCTCCTGCACGGCTGGCACCCGCGGCTCCTGGGGTTCCCGTGGAAGCCCTGGTGCTTGCAGGAACCGGCGCCATTAGCTGCAGCGACCCTGCAGGACTGCCTTTCCTGAGGAGGCTGCTGATATGCTGAATTTTTTTTCTGGCCAGCTGAGCATTTTGCTGGGAATTAGCTCTTCATTTCTGTGGGGATGTGTTTGCAATTCTTGCTCTATTCTGCAGGCTGATCCTCCCAGTTAAACCTTAGATGTATTCAGCCCTCCCTAATGAGTTTAACAAGCGGGTTGTAGATCAGCAGGCTGTGCGGCTCGCCTCCCCAGGCTGCTGTCCGTCCCTAAAGAACAAAGTGGCAGATCGGGCTGTTGGAAAGAAGCAGTCACGGAGTCCCCTGCAACGCGCGGCCCCGTGGCTGACGGAGGTACCTTACGGTCTCTGGAAGCTCTCCTTGGCTTTACTGTTCTCTGGCTGAAGCTCACCTCTTGGGTGACAAACGGCGTTCCCGCTGCCCAGCGCGGGGGCTGAGGAAGCCCCCGTGGCAGCCGGTTGGTGCTGCAGACCTGTTGGCTGTTGAGCGGTGAATAGCCACCTTGGAGAACTGGGTTTTGTGGGAAGCTGCTGTTTAAGGCATTGAGTTTCTCACTTCATTTCACTTCAGCAGCACCATAAAGGGGAGAAAATACTGTTAAAAATATTCCATGCGCTGAGTCAGAATTAATTCGGACACTGTTTTCCTTTGCTTTGTACGTTGAGGCTGATGATATGCACAGCGTGTTCTTCCTGCCAGGACAAAATCTAATATTTCTGGGTGCCCACAACCTTCCCTAGAATCATAATAGAAAGATGAATACCCTCAGCGTGCCGCATGCAATATTAAAGCACTAATGATGCAATCAGTCTCTCTTAGCCCCAGTAACAAAGGAAAGAATTACACTGCCCTTCCTGGGCATAATTCCGCTCTGCGGTGCAGGCTCTGACTGCTGAGGAGATGGCCGGGTACCCACACCAGCCCCCTCCTCTGCCCGCGCCCGCTGCTCGTCCCTCAGCAGGGGTAGCGCCCTCCGTGCCGAGGGCTCCTGTGGGCAGAGGGTCAGCCCCGTGCTGCCGCCTGCGCTGCAGCCCCTCGTGAGCCGTTCACCTTTCTATGCCCAAATCGCCAGCGCATCCCCTGGGGACCGGAGCAGCAGGTACCGCCTGCACTGGCTGCACTGCGAAGGTCCCATGTTGCAGGGAGCTGGGGACTGAATTGTGCGGCTGTGCCCGCGTGCCTCGGGGCTGGTGGCCTGGCTACGCCATCCTGCGGCTGGCGTGTCTGCAGGAGACCGGGCTGGCAGCTTCAGCCGCCCGGGAGGAAGGTGCCTTTGGACCCTCCTTTCTTTTGCACCGTTTGTTCATGCGTTTGCCAGCACTGCGTTGGACAGACCTTTGAACGCCCCAGTTTCGGTGGCTTTGCTGGCAGCCACAGCTGCAATGTCAGGGGCAGTTCAAGCCCTGCGGTCCCCTGTTAGGTGACGGGAGAGCTGAGCCAGGGCTGTGCAGAATTAGCCTGTGTTTCCTTTTGTAAACAGTATCCCAGCCCAGCAGTTTGTGCTCATTAAGCTCTAACACCACACAGTTGTTGGCACAGCCTTGCACTCCCTCCCCTCTTTCGCTCTTTTATTGTGCCTGGTTGGGGGTGCGATGGAGCTGGCCGAAACACGGGCACCTCTCCCCAACGCTGCTCCCACTGCGAGCCGCTCCGGGGGCTCCAGGGGAGTTTGGTTTTATGAATTAGCTGCTAACAATGTGGCTCGCTGCCCCAGCTGTGCGGCACCCCCTCCCCGGTGCTACCGGTGGGGCTGGGGCTGCTCACCGGAGTCGGGAGCGCAGCCAGGGGAGGTCGGGGCGATGGGCTCCTGGTTCTGGCAGAGGCCCCTGGGAAACGTTAATTTTGTCTGGTGCAGATGGTACCAAGGAGGCATCCTCCCCCAGGCCTTTGTTTCTTAATTTTGGATGATCAGTTATGATTTGGCTGTGCCTGCTCTGAAAGGAGGAGGATTTTTTTTTTCCTTTCATTTTTGAGCCCAACTGTGTGAAATACCCAAGGGGGAAGAGGGGAAGCGAGAAAAATGTCATTGCAGACAAACTATTTCTGGATGCGCTCCCGTGCGGGCGAGGTGGCGCTGGGCAGGTGCTGATGTGATACCCTGGGGCAGAGGGAGGCTGGTGGCCTCTGGGGAGTGGGAGTTGGGTCCTTGGTATATTTTTAACCTTTGCCTGGTTCAAATGCTGTTTGTCACCTCTATCTGTGGTGGCTGACGTGGTCCTGGGGGGCTGCTGGATGGGGATGGGGAGCAGGGAGAGCTCCGCTTCCACCCCCACCGGCCATGGGCATCCCCAGGCACTGGTCCTGCTGGCGCGGGGAGAGGTGGGCTTCATGGCAGGGCTACCTCGCACCTCTCCTGGGCAGTGGGAAATGGAGGCAATTCCCCTATGGCCGTATCGAGGTCCTGCCATCCCGGGGGCAGGTATGTGAATCGCTCTTCATGCTTTAGCAGAACTGTCGTGCCAACGAGGCGTAAGGAAGACCTGCCAGAGTAATTTTGACCTACTGACTGTGATGACCCCCCGTTAAAGGGGAGTCTGGCCCTGCACTGCTGCGCGTCTCCCCATCGCCCTCTCGGCTTCCATGTTGCCTCTGACAACAGCGAGTTCACGTAAGGACTGAAGTGGCAGAACAAGATGCAGTAATTGATGCTTACAGCGCTGCGAGAGTAAACGTTTAAATGAAGAGCTGGCTGTTTTCCTGGGACTCTCCAAGTTGTTTCTGGTGTGATGCCAGCTACAGATTGATGCTTCCCATGGCTGCTGTCGCTACCTGCCACCGCACCTCTGCGTGCAGGGCTGCGCTGGAGCTGCAGCAGCTGGGTGTTGTTCTGATGCACTGCAGAGCTCAGCCATGCGGGGAAGCTCCCTGCTTTTATTTTCAGGCATGTAAATCGTGAGCAGCTCAGTAGAGCTGGGCAGAAATCAACCGGTATGAGTGTAAGAAAGACGTGACCTGGGGGAAGATGAAGTGAGAGGATAACGTCACACTGTTATTGATGCAGAGCTTTAACACGAGTGTGCAGGCCAGAAACGAATGTGCTCCAAGCAAATGTCTGCTCCAAATATTTCATGGTACCTGAATTATGGCTTTCAAGCCTGCAGCATGTTTGGGATTTTTTTTTTTAAATAATGTCCTTAAGAGCTCTAAAATGCAAAGGATTTCCATCATTTCATGCCTTTAAGGAGAGATGTCTGTGGGCAGAAAAGGAGGAGTTGAAATAGCTGGATTTCAATCCAAGCTTTTTTCCTGGAGTTGAGTGATTTCTCTCTCCAACTCCTTATCCCCCCTCCCCTTCTTTCACACATCAGACAGCATCTAAATGTCTCTCAATTTGAAGGTTTTGGGTGCTTGGATGAGAGTCCGACTCCTGCAAGTGCCAAGTGCTGGGCTAGGAGCTGCCTCAAGTCCCCTGGGAGCCGCGTGAGCCAGGTGCTGCCCGGCAGCGCCAAGTTGAGGGGATGTCTTCTGTGTGCACCAGGCGTTATTTTAAATCACCGGAGTAGGAGGTGAGTCTTCGAGTAGCTGAACCAGTAGGACCTTGGCAGTCGGAAGCTTTCCGCTGGCCTTTGAACTGCCGGGACTTTGGGAAGTGGGCTTTGGGTTCCTGTATCTCGTGAGCGCGGTGGACGATGCGCGGCCGAGCAGCTCGTCCCCTCCTGGGCTGCGGCATGAGGCGAGGCTCCGGCGTCGTGCTGGTGGCACCCGCCCCGAGTCCACTGCGGCTCCCGGGTAGCGCAGCCCCCCCAGCTGCCGAAGGGTGCTCGGGGTTCCCACCATTCTTCCTCACTGTGGCTGGTGGAGGGGGAGCCCCTGTTGCAGCCCAGGCCTGCGTGGGTGCAGATGGGCACTGGTGGCTGGTTTGGGGAGGCGGGAGGCGTGAAGCTGGGGTGGCCAGCCCCCTGGGCATGGTGGCCAGCCCCCTGGGCACCATGCACAGCCCCTGGCACTGGGCTCACCTACCCACGGGCTCTGCTGTGCCCAGCGATGGACTGCAGCCTGTTTTCTTGGGGTTTTGTGATTGATGGAAACTCATACCCAGCTAGAGGTCAGCATTTCCATTTAAATGGGATCTCTGGAGCCGTGGGGTTTTTGCTGGTGGTCAGGCTGCAGATGCACACTTCAGCATTATGGAGCTGCTGGGGAACCGGAGGGGAGAAAACCTGCGTGCCGCAGCTGCGCAGGGGCCAGCTGGGAGACGCCTCGCCGGGCCCCGGGGCAGCCAGGCATCTGTTTGCTGTGAGAGATGAGGTGATGGGATTTTTGCTTATTGAGATTTAATGCCTTTAGTGGAACGTCCCCTGAAGTGTGCTGGAGGGTCGGTCGGAGGATCCCGTAGCAGGGAGCCAGCCTGGTGCAGTGAACGCAGCCCTGCCGTTTTGGGGACAGCCAGGGGAAAAGCCACACAGGGAGGCAAACCTCTGCGTTGCCACCAGTGACCGCCTGCATCAGGCCCCAGTGGCCGGCCGGGCTGGGGGCAGCCCCACAGCACGATGCTTGTGAGCAACACTGTGCCCGTGGCTCGGCCCTGATGCCCATGCTGCCCACGCAGCGCTGCCCGTGGCTCCTGCCATTAGGAGAAATACGATATTTGCCGGCATAAGGTTGTGAAAAGCCAAAAGCCACAAAAAAAAAAAAAAAAAGGAAATGACTTTTTTCTGGTGTTTGTATGTGTGCGCTTGTGCATGCGCTTGGGGCAGCTGACCGAGAGGCAGCGGGGTCCCCCCGGCACAGCGCTGCGCACGCTGGCAGGAAGCGCCCGCTGTGGCCATCTTCCACGCGGCTGGCCCACGGGGGCTGCTGGCCCCATCACCGCGTCCCCGCATGGCTGGAGCGCCCCGGCAGCACCGAACCGCCACCATGTTCCACAGAAAGCGCAGCGTCTCCTTCGGCGGCTACGGCTGGTGGGTGCCTTTCCTTTCTATCCCCCCTTCGCTACTGGGAGCACAGTGCCGCGTGAGGAGCTTTTCTTCCCTCTGCGGCTTCAAAGGAGGAAGCGCCGCAGCACTGCAGCGCGGTGCCCTCGTGGCAGAGCCCTTCCCGCTGCCCCATGCCAACAGGAGCGCGTGGGAGTCAGGAAGGACCTTCTTTCGCCATGCCCCTGGGGAAGCCCGGCACTTCAGCAGGCGGGTGCTGCTGTGCCCCAGCAAAGCCCCTCGGGAGCCCTGTGGGTGCCAAGCAGCGAGGCAACCTCCCTGGGGGCTTGTGGTGGGCTCCCGTGGGCACGTCACCTGCAAGAGCGTCCTGTGGTTCTCCCCTCTCCTTTCCCTTTGCCAAGGCCCTGCTGCTTGCTCCTCCTCTGCCTGGGCAGCGATGCTTACGGCCGCCTTTGGCACCTTGCAGCATGTGCAGTGAGGTCCCACCTGGTCCATGGCAGGTTCCCAGCACCATTGGCACCTCCCCGAGTCGTCCCTGCTCTGTCTGTCCTCGGCAGAGCACCACGGCTGCTGCCTGCACCCGGGGTTCAGCGGGATGGTTTGCTTCTCCCGTCCCTTCCCTCCGAGATGTGTTGGTCTATAGGGAAATAGTTTAAGCAAACAGCACTGTTCTCCCTCTGCCCTTCCTCCAGTTTCCCTCTCTCTAAGGTATTTTGTGCCCATTCTGTCTGTGCTGTGTGATTGTGATCAGGCTGTGGGAACCGATGGCCGAATTGGCAATTTTGTAATGATTTTGGCTGTTTGGCACTGGGGCAGAGGGTTGCTCTGCCTTCCCCTCCCTGTGCCATGGTGGCTGGGGTTGGGCAGCCGGGGGCTTGGGGAGGAACCTTGCGCCGGTGGGCTCGGAGCTGCTTGGGACCTGCCGGGGGAAATGCTGAGTAACCGAGAGGGCTGCGAAGGGCAGCGAACCCGTCAAGGGTTTCGGCAAAGTCTCCTGGGAATAGAAGCGCACGCCTTACTGAAGCCGTGTTTTGTCTCAGCTGGATTTTTTTTTTTTCTTTACATAAAAATGGGAAGGAAGCACTCCGATAAACTTCTGTACCAATAAGTTTTGTGAAATGTGGGCTTATTTTGTGGCAGAGAGAAATCGCTGCTCTTGGGCAGCGTCGCCCCGTAGCCACCGTTGGGTGCAGTGGCTCCGGGGCCCCCACCGCACCGGGGGCATCCCGGGAGCTGCTGCCGTTGGCAGGTTCCCGCTGC